AGAAATGTATATTACATTTTTAAGGATCTGCTAGATAAGAAATTCCTACCATATAAGCCTAATTTTTGGATGAAAATGCATCTTGATAGATAAAATGAAGAATTGTGTCTTGCATTCAAATACTAGGATCCTCAACATTATCATCATAATAGTTTATATCATTAAGAGAGTAAAAGTTTAGAAACACAAAGATAGCATGATCAGAAGATATAGGATACTTACAAAAATCAAGGAATATACCTCATTAAAGTTCCCTATACAGCTGATCTCCTATTCTATATCAAATATATTCTAATCAAAAAAGGGTTCTTAGATAAAGCAAAATCTAATCCTTGAAAGCTCATGTGATAAAAAAATGTTACTAATGGTAACGATCAAAATTTGAAATTGCCAAAAATTTGTAAAACTCACGGTCTCAGAAATTTACTAAGAAATTTATTTCAATACATAATTAAAGGTTCAAACAGTTCAGTTAAATCTGGATTAGATGTTAATCTGTATTCGAACTGAAAATTTTGGTTCAGTTCAGTTCAGATTATTAATCTTAAAAATGCTAATCTGAATCTGAACTGAACTGCAGATCAGTAAAAATCTGAACTGAACCAGAATTTTCAGATTAATCTGAAATTACAGTTAGATTATATAAAGAATTCGCAATTTATATGTAAAACTCTAGGAGAATCATAAAAAATCGTAAATTTTTCTTCAAAGTTCGCAAAATTCAAAGAGAAATCAAAATTTTTTGCGATTCTTCAAGAATTTCACATATAATTGAACTAAACTTTTAGATTAATCTGAAATTATCAGTTCAGTTCAAATTTTTTTTAGTTCAGATTAGAATTATAATCTGAAAAAAATCTGAACTGAACTGAAAATTTTCAGATTAATTTTTATGCAATTCGAAACTGATTTGAACTGAACTGATCTGAAAAATCTTTGGATTAATTTGAACCATTCAAAGCTTTATGTATAATACTGTATAGAATTCTTTGTGTATAATATTGACGAGATCTCAGAAAATCTTTAAAGCAAATAAAAGGTAATAAATATAGTCCAGATTGGCTTTTTCGTTTTCTAGTTACTAAAGGCTCATATAGTGGAAAACTAATATAATTATTAATCTTATTTTAGGTAACAAACTTCAAAGTATGTTTAAAGGTAAAAAGAAGGATAGATATATTAAAAATAATGATCTCATTTTAGTTGGAAAGCATACTGAACCTAAATGGGAACTAGTAAAAAATGCTATTTACATTTTTGCAAATAGTTTTATGTCATATTGAGAAAATATCACATTTCAAACAATAAAGGCGAAAATGATTTCAGATATAAGCAAATTCTTTCTAAAAAGAAGTACTGTTATTGTTTTTGAAGATCTTTATACTGAATTAAAAAAAGTACAAGAATGTATAATCCCTTACTTCATTAGTAAATGGCATCAAAATATATTCCCTATATATGTGACTCAGAAATATTAGGCTATATTAAAGATAATTTATAAAAATATTTTTCATTTAGTATTATTTAATAATTAGGAAGTTGAAAAGATCTTATTTGTATTATACATCAATTTGTAAATAATCCAAAAAAAGCATTCAAAATTATTGAAAAGTATTTGCAAAATCAGAATTTTATAGTTTGTGATTTTACTAAAGTGATAAATGATCCATTAGCGATTAGATTAGGCTGAGATACTCCTTTGAAATTAGAAGAATAAATCTAAAAATTAGTGAATTTTTATACACAATGAAAAATTATCCTTAAATGATGCTTGTATTATTGTCAAATCTCATAGTGGAATATGTCTTTTAACTGAATATAAGGATAACAAAACTCTATTAATATAGCACTATTCTAAAAATCATACATAACATACTTTACTATATAGAGTTAAAAATTGTAAAACATGATGCTTACATTATATAGGTAATGTAAAATATATTCTTAAAGATATCAAAAAATCGCATTATCTAAACATGAAGAGTGCCTATAAAAATAATCAATTGCCATTATTGTGGTATTGTAAAGAAAACCATTTATGATATGCATCTCTTAGCATTATGAAAAGTGGTAAATGGTATTTATATTGTGCAGGCAATGCTCATCTTACTCTTGAAGATGCCAAAAAAATTGCACTTAGCCGAAATGGCAAATATCTTTAATCATATATAGAAATTTCAATACTCCAATGATGTGAAAATATCATAAAGATCATATTTGAAATAACCCACTTTATTATATTAAATATTCTAATTCATAGTACTCATATTGTATGAAGTTAACCCTTGAGAATGTAAAATAAATCACATTATCTAAATATGAAGAATGTCTTTCAACTAAATATAAAAATATAAGTAAACCACTTATCTGAAGATATTAATCTAATTATCAATAGCAAAATTCACTTAATCACGTTAAAATAGAGAACAATGGTATTTATTTTGTATTGGCCAGTGTTAATCTATTGAGGATATGCATAAGCTTGCATAAATAAAAAATGGAGATTACCTTTCAGATTAATACTATAACTCACATGCCAAACTAGAATAGATTTGTGAAAATAAATATAAATGGAAAGCTATTCCCAATAGTATTCAACAAGGAAGCTGATGTTCATATTGTGCAGGTAGCATGAAACTAACTCTTGAGAATGTGAGAAAAATTGCATTAATTAGATATAGGCAATGCCTTTCAACCAAGTATAAAAATAATCAATTGCCATTATTATGGTATTGCAAAGAAGGCCATTTATGGCAAGCATCTTTTGGTAATGTGAAAAGTAGTACTTGGTGTTCATTTTGTTATAAATATAAACACAAATAATTATATTGAGAAATTGTAATAAAGTATCTTGGTTCATCATCTTAAAATCGCAGGCCAGATTTCTTGAAAATTCCTGAATATCCTAAAGGATTAGAACTTGATATATATTACTTAGAATATAGTTTTGCAATTGAAGTGCAAGAAGAATAACACGAAAAATTTAATAAGTTCTTTTATAAAGGTAATTCCAATAATTTTATCAAACAGCAAGCACGAGATTATCTTAAGAAAGAATTATGCGAAAAGAACTAAATTGCACTAAGGTATATTTAGTATTATAAAGATCTATATATAATTATTCCTAAGCATTTTTGAGAATTAGATCTCATTAAATAAACTTAAAACTTTAAATGCTTTTGCAATTTATTGATCAATTAATTGTTACATGTAATTTTAGTCAGGATAAAAAATATCAGACTAGTTATTTTTACTATTTTTTTTTCTATTATACTAGGTTTTCCCACATTCTATTTTTTTAGATCATTAAGATCTTCAGCATAGCTCGTCAGTAAAAATATTAAAATTAATCATGCTAAAATAAAATACATTATAAAGTATTCCAGAGCTTTTTACCTTTCTCTCTGCTACTCAGGTTGTAAAAGAAATTGCTGAATTTTAGCTAATGCTATAAGCACTACCTGTCTTTCTCCTAGTCTGAGAAGTCAAAACCAATTTTCAACCCATTTTATCCTGATCATCGTCAAATCTCAATTGATCATCTTTTAAGCAAACCCTTTCTTAGCTTCTTCAAATATACCTTAGAAATCATTGCCTTATAAAATGTAACATAAGTAGAAATGACATTAATAGTGAATAAAATCTGATCTATAACTTCTTCCTTTATATTTACACTTATCACAGCAAGTATTTCAGCAAGATTTGTACTTTATTAAAATCAGTTATTACATCAACATTTTCTAAATGTAGAAAAAAAGATTTTTGAGTCGTCAAATAATATGACACATCAAATAATCGAAAACACATAAACCTCTATAATTGTCATAGCAACTTCTTATTTTTTTATTACAAATTCAGCTATTGCCGTTATCTTATCACTAACAGATATCTTGTATCTTTCTTTAACTCTAAATTTAGATGTGATATAAAGTTAAAAAATTATTATGGTATATAATAAATAAAGACTTTTTTATTATTTCTTACTTAACCGCTAATGGCCAATTATTAAAGTCAATAGTGTGATATAGCAGATAAGTTACCAATAAGTTAGTCTTAGATTTCTCTATGCTTATATCAAGACCTGTGTTCATGATGACCTAGTGAAGTTTGTGAAAGAATATTTTTACATATTCATTTAAATCAATATTGCTAACGTCAAAGTTATGCCTTTTGAGAATAATTTGAGTAATGTTTTGGATAACGTATGTACGCAAAAAGTTTATGCTTAGACAATATTTAAGTTACAGGGTTATAAGGTTTACTAAGAGGATTATTAACACAACGTGATTCTTATTTTCAACATCAGATATAACTTTATTCTCGTTAGAAGCTAATATGAAGGTCATATTTAGTGCTCTTATATCATCTTCTGTAAATTTAAATGCTAAACAAGAAAGGTCCTTTAGACCATAACTGGAATATAAACTAGAACTAGAGCTAGAACAAATACTAAGATCTCTGATAGTTTTTGTAAGACCTGAATCTTGTCTGGAATGTGACGTTTAGACACAGTAAAACTCTGTTCAACAGTTTTTTATTTTTTTGCTTTTTGTGTGATCTCTTTAGAGAACTCTCACTTTTACGGTTGACATTTTTCATTTTTGTGTTTTTTGTATAGTCTATTTCTGTGAAGTTTTTTATACAGTCTCTTCTGGAGAATCTCACTCTTATTTTTATTTTTTCATTTCCTTGAAATCTTTTGTGTAATTTTTGCTAAAGAACTTCTACTCTTACTTTCAACATTTTTTGTGGTACTTTTTGAATAACTCTCACTTCTGATATTATACTTTTTGTTCTATTTTTTTCTTTTTTCAAAAACATCTCTATAACACAATGTGATAAAAAATAGAAACTATCGTAAAAAATGAAAAGTACATAATTTTACTAGAGAAAAATTTTTTTACACATGTTAGAAAACTAAGTCACAATTATATTATACATGCAAATTTCTATAACCTTCTATAATATAGGACAATTTGGCATTTTTTTGTCGATCATCATGATTTCTATCTTAATGATTACCGTTATTCCAAAAAGGTGAGTTTATTGTATTTGATTTAAATAGACATTCAAGATTATTGATAAATACCTGTGAGATCAAAATTTTGTGATCTTCAATTTTACTAAACTAGTAGATGATCCATTAGCAATTAGACTGGGTTGGGATTCTCCTTTGAAGCTAAATGAGTAGAATTTCTTAAGTCTAAAGATAAAATGTATATTTTTTCCTGATTTCTAGATCATGTTTGAATTCACTATGCCTCTTTACCTATAATTTTCTTTTATGAGTACTAGAATATATTTCCAGTTCTATAATCATATCACTATACTTTCATTTTGAAAAGGATCTGATCAACAAAAGTGATAATTTTTCTATCTTTAATAGAAATAATATCTTCCAGATGCCAGCATTTATTCTTTAATATATCAATAGACTTTTTTGCTAATGCAATACTTTCTTCATATCAGAGATTATACATTTGAAAAAGCTATTGAATTTGATAATTAGATAACTTTCTCACCACTCTCTTCTAAAGACCTAATTATGGCTACTTCACGAGTCTTATATTTCTCTTGCAAGTCAAAAAGCTCTTCAATCTTTTTTTCTAATACCTGCTTTGATATACACAATTCCTAATTTTTTTACCTTAACGAAGTTTTATAGTTGCTAGTAATAGACTTCATCTTCTAATATTCTTTTTGCTTAATATAATTTTCAACTGCCTTATTTAACAAATCTTCTACTTCAGAATGGATATTACTTGTCTGTTTTAGCGATAATAGATGTTTTCATAATGTAAGATATCATCATATACTTATTTTAATAGAATGAAAAAGCTGATTAAGTTGCTTTAAGTAATATATATAAAAAGATGGTATTAGTATACCAGTCATTATTATTACAGGTAACTAATAAAAAAATTTTAAGAATTTTATAGATTCAGAAATTTTATAAGAAAAAATTTTGAGAATTTTATACATTCAGAAATTTTACAAGAATATAGTCATATGCGTTAATGTTACGAGAGATTTGCTAAAAAACTATGATATGATTAAAAATACATATGACATCTGTCCATTGGTCAGCAAGAAAAAATCATTTTAGTAAGGATATCCTGATGTTAAAGAAATTTCGCCAAATTGATACATGATCATATCTTTTATGATACAGATAGTATATTTTTTATTAATACATTTTGCAATTGCTTATCTTATAATTTTGTAATTTTGGCCTTAAGCTCAATATTCTTAGTCATTCTCAGCCTCAAATTTGGCAATATATTGTTTCAATGAATTGGTTAATCTAGAATCCATCTATTTCAAATTGCATACTTGCGTAATATAATATTATTTATGCTTTATATATTAATATTCAAAAATTTTATTATCAGATGCATATCTTATATGAAAAAATTACAGATAAATATGTAAGAATAATTGGCCACTAAGGCACTTTATTAATACAAAAATAATGATACATAATATAAATTACAAAAAAAAAAGAAACTCTAATCATCTCACATTGGAGTAAAAACTGTAATACTATCTTCTTTTTGTCTTTCTAATATAAAAATAGATATGTGATATAGTAAGAACAAATTTGTAATTAATATGTTTTGTAAAAGTAAAAAGGTTTTTACAAATTTAGTTATAATGCTTACATCTGACAATCATACAGGAATTTTAGCCAATTGTAAATGAAAATATTTATGAACATTTACTTTATCTCTAATAAGTACATTCAGATACAACATATTTCCAGTTACTTATACTCTAACTATTCCAAATTGATCTTTTTCTGGTTTAAGGACTTTACGAATTCAGAACATTTTATCGTTACTTTTTCTTTATAGCTTTATCTCATTATCTATCTTTTCTGTTGATTACAGTATAATCATAAACATTTAATATACATAAGCTCAAAAAAAAACATCTAAATATTTTACCACATACATAATATCTAATTGTCTTCCTACCTGTCCTTTACCTTTTCTATCTGTACTAGTAATACTCTATCATTCTGAAGTACTGATAAATGTGAATAGTCTAAAAGAAAGATTTTTTAATATTGCTCAAATAGACAATAGAATAACTGTTGATTGATAAATTCCTTCATTTAGCAATTTCACAAGTTTAGAATTAAAAGCTAGGTTAATTCAAATATCTTCTTGAAGAATTAAAACTTCTTTTATAACATTCATGATTTTTTCTTCTGATTCTTTATAGGACTTATCGTGAATTAGTTTATCTAGTATTGTATTTTGAATGTTATGATTGACAAAAATTGTTATAAAATTTTCACATATCTTTTTAACTGTCGTTATAGGAACAGATATTATTTGTCAAGCAGGTTTCTAATATAAAAATATGTTATATTTATTCTTAAAGAACCTTTAACAAATTTATGGTTACTTACTTTAAATGCTTATTTTTAAATTTGATGACAACTACTTGACAACTTCTGATTGATTGCTAATAATTCAACTGATTAAAAGATCCTTTCAGATTAAGCTTTGGATAGATATAGCATTTACTTTAAAATATAATTGTTGATAGAGAGGCAAATGTCTTTTCTAAATATTTTTTTCAGATCATTTATATTATTATTAATCTGATCTGAGCTAAAAGGAATTTCCTTATCTGTTTTAATTGCTTTCATGTTATATAAGATATAAACACCTTCAAAGTTAATATCAAATTAAAAAAAGTATTATGTTAGATTCAGAAATAAAAAGAAGTTCTCATCATAAAAATAATACAATCATCAATGCATATGTGAAGTCATTATCTTTATGTGACTATTATACAGATGAAACTTTGTGTGATACTAAAAAGTAACATAATAATTCATATTTTAACATACCCCTCAACATGGCAATAACCTTTTCACATAATAGGTTGGTAGGGTAAACTACAAAACTGCATAATAAATTATAGCATATACATCCCTCTATTACTTATAAGTATTTACTGGCAAGTAAGCTAAATAGGTAGGTTGAATATAAGCAATAAACTAAAAAATAACTTATTTATTCAGATTTACTTTAGTAAACGATCACACTATATTATTATATAATAATAAAAGCTTAAATATTTGCATAAATCTTAATTAACCTGTGATTAGAATTTAGAAATTTTTAATTGATGAGAAGAACTTTCCATAAATGTATTACTAACAGATTCTACAGCTTATTCTACAAATGATTTTAACTTTATTTGAAAAACTCAGCAATTTTCTTTTATTTCAAGATAAATATATCACATAACATTTTATTTGATATTCATTATCAGTCATCAAGACTTTATAAATCTTATTATATATTATAATAGACATATTTATATAGTTAGTTTAGAATATAAAATAATATTAATATACTGAGATAATGCCAATAGCAAAATAAATAACAAAAAGCTAAAATTACCTATACTGCTTTTTAAATGTTACTATTTCTTCACATTTACACCTCTCTAAACTCACATCTATGTTAGAGAAGAGATAGGAAAAAATATGCAAAGCACTTTACGTCAAAATTTTATGTTCATTAGTAAAAATATGCAGAATATGCATTGAAGATCTCAATATTTATAAAAGGTATTAAGATAATACATATATAGACTTTTTTTGCTTACCTGATCACTCAATAGTTAATATTAAGACCTAAGTAATATTATATAAATATATTCTATTCGAAATCAATAGTATCAGAAAGTCTATCTCTTTAAAGCAAATATTCATATCAGTAAATATTATTCTGCTAAATCTTATTTTGCTAAATGTTGTAAGGAAAAAATTTGAAATATTTCAGAGATTGATTTATGTGTAAAATTACTTTATCATAAAAGCATAATTTTACAGATAATTTGTAAAGTATTACTAACATAGTTGATAACTTATTTAAAAAAATCTAAATAATAAAGTTTTAATTATTATTTATCTAAAAAGAATTCAAAAAAGCATTAGTTTTGAAATCAATGAAGTAGAATTTAATAACAAATTTTTTGTTTTTACATGTTAATTGGTTCTATTATTTATTACAATAATGATACATAAATAAAATAAAAAAATAAAATTACAAATAGAATAAATTTATAATTGTTAAAGTATGCTTGTTCTTAGCTAGATATAATTAGCCTATAACTATTGATTCTAAATACTGCATAGAGATAGTAAGTTTCATTTAGGAAAAAAATTTTTTTTTTAATGAAAATCAGAAAAAAAAACTATAAAAAAAAACTGAATGTAAAATTAAAGAAGAAAATGGAAAAAGAAAAAGAATTACAATAATTAGAGAGAGTGACAGTTAAAAGTTTGTTTTAAAAAAAAAAATGTTAATAGTTGAAGTGATAATTAAGTTTAAAAAAAAAAGAATTATGTAGAGGAATTTACGGTTTGTGATAGTATTTTAGTATTAGATAATAAAGGTAGTAATGCAGATTTTTGTAAAGAAAAAGGATTGAAAGAACGAGAATTATTTAAATTTTCTAGTAAAGTAAATATAAAATTT